CTTCCCTACATAGCAGCATCCTTGACCTTGGACTATACACCGTGTGTCTGCCTCTTTCTGCCATAAAGTTTAACCCCTGACCTGTCCTAAGGTGTCCTCTTACCCAGGGGATATTGATTGTAAGTTTATGCCCAGAGTGTGGAACATGCCTCCGGCCTGTTAGCTCAAGACACACAATGAAGGGGTGTTCTTGTGCCACCCTGTAGGGACCGCGACCGAATCGAGTTTGGCTCTGAGGCTGGTGAACGGAGGTGACCGGTGTGAGGGCCGCGTGGAGGTCCTGTACCGGGGCTCATGGGGCACCGTGTGTGACGACGGATGGGACACCAACGACGCCAATGTGGTGTGCAGGCAGCTGGGCTGCGGCTGGGCCAGGTCGGCTCCAGGAAGTGCCCGGTTTGGGCAGGGCTCAGGACCGATTGTCCTGGATGACGTGAGCTGCTCGGGGCATGAGTCCCACCTGTGGAGCTGCCCACACAGAGGCTGGAACTCGCACAACTGTAACCACGGGGAGGACGCCGGCGTCATCTGCTCAGGTGGGCCTCAAAGATCGCCGAACCTCCTTTTGGGGTGCTGTTGTTGAGGACAGACACACTTCCCACCAGCGACCATACCCAAGCCTCATGCGTCATCCTGGGACCTTAGTTTATCCCAGGCATAATGGCGGCCACGGTACATAGTCACATACTCTACTTGAAGACACAGCTCGGTTAGTACCTGTCCCAGGCATCCTGCATGTGGGGTCAGGTGATGGTGGCACCCGTGTTCACATACAGGATCTAGCTACCATGGGCAGAGCAGGAGGCCGTTTCAGGTGCCCACAGCAGTGTGAGCTAACCTCCACACTGGAGGTCACCTGGGGCATTTCTTTCAGGGCAGCGTTATTTGTGATGGCCCGAGAGGTTGGTGGCAGCTCCCCTCTCTGATGGCTTTATTTCTTTGTGCTCTCCCGGCTGCCGGCGCAGAGGAGAGGATGCTAGAGCATCATGTTCGTTGTGCAACACAGTGACGAGAGGTCGGAGAAGGGTAAAGTGTGAGTTGTCAAGTGGCCTGTGAATAGACTGCTAACAAGCCACTTAGGACCTTGGCGAGTGTGGTATGAGGCACAGGGCAAAAACAAGAAACCCTCAGACTGCTTGAATGTCATCGAACCTCAAGGTGGAAGAGTTGGGGTCTACCTTGAACTATTTCTTCGGACATTCTGTAATAAACCCTTGGTGTCAATGCATAGGCTGTGGTGCCCTGTGCTCAAAGTGACCCTGAGTTTCCTAATCGGGAATCTCGGCCTCAGGCTCAGTGAGGCAGGCACAGGCAGTGGACAGAGGAAAGGGAGGCGCTGGGCGGGCACTGGCAGTGTCCATGCACAGTGCATACTGGGATATGAGCTCGGTATATGAAGGTTGAGTGTCTAAGGCCTTGATTCTGGGATGGGGGCGGGAGGCCCCCGTGTGCTTTGTGTCTGACTTTCCTTCTCTTCCTCACAGATGCTCAGCCCGAGTCCACACTCGCGCCAGGTGAGTCCCGGGCATCTTTACTCAGGATGTCCCTGCACTAGCTGCCTATCCTACACACTGTGATGGAGCGACTGCTCTTGGAGGCAGGCCCCCAGGGGCGCTGGATTTTGG